TGTTCACTACCACTACCCGCGCTCCCGTTACCACCACCACCACCACTCAAGCGCCCACCACTCGTGGCTGCCCGGCTTACGAAGCCTGCTTCTGCAAGCCCGGTGCTGAATCTGTCGATTTTTACGACCGCGATGGCTGCCGCAGCTGCTCTTGCCAGTCGGCACAAGTTACGACCACCCAGGCGCCAGCCACCACTCGCGCGCCTGAGACCACCACCACTCGTGCCCGTGAGACCACCACCACTCGTGCTCCTGTGACGACGACGACCCAGGCCCCGACCACCCGTGGCTGCCCGGCCTACGAGCCTTGCAACTGCAAGCCCGGTGCCGATGCCGTCGATGTGTATGACCGTGATGGCTGCCGCAGCTGCTCTTGCCAGTGGAACGGTGAGGCCACCACCACCACTCGTGCTCGTGAGACCACCACCACTCGCGCGCCTGAGACCACCACCACTCGTGCCCGTGAGACCACCACCACTCGTGCGCCTGTGACGACGACGACCCAGGCCCCGACCACCCGTGGCAGCCCGGCCTACGAGCCTTGCAACTGCAAGCCCGGTGCCGATGCCGTCGATGTGTATGACCGTGATGGCTGCCGCAGCTGCTCTTGCCAGTGGAACGGTGAGGCCACCACCACCACTCGTGCTCGTGAGACCACCACCACTCGCGCGCCTGAGACCACCACCACTCGTGCCCGTGAGACCACCACTACTCGCGTGCCTGAGACCACCACCACTCGTGCTCGTGAAACCACCACCACTCAAGCCCCGACTACTACTACTTTCAGTCACCCCTGCCCTCCCAATGCCTCGTTGCTCTTGTGAGCCAGGTGCTTACCATCATCTATCAGACTGATCGCTATGGTTGCCCTGAGTCATGCACATGCAAGAACCCTCGTGCGCCCCCACCACCACCTCCTGTTACTGTTCGCACTACCACTGCTGCTCCTGCCACCCGCCCCGTCGACACCACCACCACTGCTCGTCAACCTGTGACCACCACAGCCCGGGCTACCACGACAAGGTTTGTTCATTCGCTGCCAAGTTTTGATCGTTTGCGTCTCAAACAATGCTTCCTCACCCTTGCGGTTGTGCTTCATTTTCCAGCGAGCGTTGCCCTGAGGCGGAGTGCCATTGCAAGCCTAATGCTGAACTTGTTTGGGAGGTTTGTTGCTTTGCCCTCTTCGCCGACTTGTTCTCACATGGATGTCTTGAATTGCTCATTGGCCATGCGTCTTGATCTCGTGTTCCATCACAGACGGACCGTTCAGGCTGCCAAGTCTGCAGTTGCCAAGCCCTTCCCACCACGCGTGCTGCGTCAACTCGCGCCACTACTCGTCACACGGTATGTGATGCATAGAGTTGTGTCTGGTCTCGAACGACACCCCTTGCACTTTGTGGAGGTGCAAGCAGTGTCTCATGTGCCCATGACTTTGATCTTATAATTATAATTTTCTTTTTGTCGTAGACCACCGAGAGCCGCCAGTGCCCGACCTTCCAGCCCTGCAACTGCAAGGCTGGTGCCGAATCTGTGACATTTTACGACGCGCAAGGTTGCCAAACCTGCTCGTGCCAGGCATCTGGTTCGGCCGAGAATATTGTCCAGGAGCAGGGCGATAGCAGCGAGCCGCAGCACAGCTCGGCCGTCAGCCTCAGCATTGGACTCGGCCTTGCCGCGGTGGCTGTTGCCGTCATCACTGTCTTTGTGGTTGTCCGCCGTCGCCGTGTGGCCAAGGGCGCCGCTGCCGATTTGGAACTCGAGTGGGACCCCCAGTCTGATGCCGCTTCGCAGGAGTAAACCCTGTGCTGCTGAGCTCGACGTTGTGTCTTATGCAAAGCCTCCAATTCAGGCGTGCCTGAACCATTGTGTGTGTTTGTGAATGTGCGTGTTTGTGCGTGAACGCGTGTGATGCCTCTGTTCGTTTGATGCTTGAAAACAAATCTTTTGCGGCAACTTTGCTGCCTCGCCTTTACGAGTGCGCAGTTGTGTGCTTTCTCGAGCTGTCTGATCTCAATGCCACCCACTTTGCGCTGAGAAATCGAATGCTCAATCAAAGCCAACTTGATGTCATGATCACCATAATGTTTCCATGATGGCTCTAAAAAAAAATCCACGGCCCCTTCTGTGAGACGCGACCCAGACGGCCAGAACAGTCTTAGCAGAGTCTTGACTACCTCACACGCACTTCTGAGTGAGAGATTCGAAGAGTTTGAAAGAGAAAGAGAGAGAAAGAGAGAGAAAGCTTGAGAGAGCGAGTTTGAGAGAGAAAGAGAAAGCTTGAGAGAGTTTGAGAGAGACACTTGTTTGATGTTGAATTGAGAGAGTTTTGAAGAGAGAGATTCAGAGTGGGTTTGAGAGAGAGAGAGAAAGAGAGAGAGCGAGAGAGAGAGAGAGAGAGAGAGAGAGAGAGAGAGAGAGAGAGAGAGAGAGAGAGAGAGAGAGAGAGAGAGAGAGAGAGAGA